TTCCTGTTTGTTGTTTCGCTTACCTGTTGTTTTGTTGTTTGTTGACTTGTGTCTCCTGCCCACATATCGAGGAGTTGATAAATCCCTCTTTCAATCAATTTCAGATTCTGCCCATCTGTCTGTGCTTATACATACCCATATACCAAGAATATGTTAAATCTACCCTTAGATTATGGAAATTGTTCATCCATCCACATTTGTCCCTATCCCTCTTCCTGCCGGCCTGTTTGTTAGTTATCTTGCATATTATTATTTTGCTCGTCGATTTGTCTCGGCTAATTGTTTTCTTGTCCACATGGCCAGAAGTTTATAAATCTATCTTTCAATCAGTTTATGCTTCCATCAATGTATCAATTTATCGTTTTAGCCACCCATCTATCTAGAATATGATAAATTTATCTTTCGATTAAACTCTCGTCTTATCTATACGCTCACAATTGTTGGTCTTCCTGCCTGCCTGCCTGTTTGTTAGTTCACTTGCCTATTACTTGTTGGTTGGTTGGTTGGTTGGTTGGTTGGTTTGTGCCTCTTGGAGACATATCCAGAATGGGATAAATCTATTTTTGAATCAGTTTGTGATTCTCTATTTAAATTAATCTCTCCGTGTGTGTCTGTATTTTTTAGGTTATCCATATTTGTCTGCCTGCCTGTTGCCGACTGGTCAGTTTGCTTGTCTACAGCTCATATTACTATTTTTATTGTCATATTTCTTGCCCACAGTCGGATAGTGTGAATTCGTTAAGAATTTGTAAATAAATCTAAGCTACTCCTTGTATGCAGCAGTTTGGCATAATTTAACATTAATTCGCTTATGCAGAATCTACTGAGAATAATGCAATTCTTCTCAGCCCTGTCCATCACAGTTGCCAGAGATGTTTGTTAAGAGCTATCCATGTTTGTCGTATCAATCACATAGCAATGAAGCATATGGCGATGCAATACCATTGCCGGGCAAAAGTGCCACAGAATCACGGGAATAGCGAGTCTCTTCTACCGGCAACTTTGGAATTATAGGCCTGGACAATTGAAGGAAAAGCACTTTTCGTCTCATCATTTATGCGTTTTGTCATGTCGTCCATTTTTGACTGGGCCGCTTCAAACGGAGGCCGACATGATGACGATGACACGTTGCCAATCTTTATGTTTATCTCAATTTTCCCATGATTTACTTCGGCACGAAGCCACTGCACATTTTGTTATCCTCAACTGTCGATATAAAAAGAAAACAGTTTGATTTTCCTCCCGCAGAAGGTAGATAATTTGTATATTTTATATGTGATTCGCCATGCAAGTAACAGGATAAGGCCTAGCATTAATTTGTGAGAAAAAACCTGAAAACAGCATATAAAAGTACACATATATGAAAATGTAAATGGACATATGCGTGTGTATGCAAACGGCAATATCCATGCCGGCCTTGTCGTCCCCGAGACTGGCAGTGATGGGAAAGCAATTACTCCTTGAGGCTTTTTCATACAGCCTACCGATTATCACCATAGGATTGGCTGTAAAAAACCTTTACCGTACCATCAAGAGGGTGCTGGTTCGACAGATTCCGACTCGATACGTTGCCCGGCGATCGATGCAAAAGCAATCCTTTATATTGAAGTTGTGCCAGATCTGGATTTTGTCCGATTCTTCTGCACCGCTCAGCAGCAATCGGTTAGGCAGGGGGAGGCGGCACTGGGTCACGGTTGCCATGTTGGCCCTCCCAGAGGTCCGTTTAAGCCGTGTTTAGTTGAGTTATTTTCTGTAATTCACTTTTCCAGATGTTCACGGCCAATTAGCAGGCTTGCATGAAGTTTGGTCTATTCTTTATGTTGGCTCCGGTACCAACCTATTTTTTAAGAATAGCTCCTGAACGCCTTGTTCACTCCGCATGTAAGCATGCTTTCTCACCCGATAATGACCTCGTAGCTCATCTGCTTAGTTGGACAGATCATTTATGTGCATTTAACATCACAGATACGTGGTCAAAGTTCATGTCACCGTGGTGACGAAGGTAATCCGTGCTTCAAAGAATCCCTTAATAACTTTATGTTGTCGCAGTTTTCATTTGGCTTGACAGACACGCTGGAAGAGTTTCGTAACTTGGACAGGCCAGATCGTTGCGGTTATGATTCTGATTTTGTATGAAGAAGTCGTCGGCGAAAAGAGCCTTTGTGCCAAAGACTGTCCTCAACTTTCCCACCCTCTTCAAAAGTGACAAACGGGTTCAGAACGTAAAAGCCTGCTTTACAATGATGATGCCTGCGTCATGTGGAGGAGTCTGAGTGTGAGCTCGTCTAAGTTGGGAAAACTTAGTCATTCCGAGTCGGTACAATGAAAGGAAACACAGAATGTGTCTGCCCAAAGATGGGCTGCTCACAGCCGAGTTGGACTTTGTATTCCGATGACCTTTTGCTGAATAAGAGCCCTCCAACCGGGTTGAGCTATGGTCCTGTCAAGATGCGTCACACCTTCTTCGCCAGTTCACCCCAACCGAGGCCGAATCTCTCT